ACGGGGGGAGGCAGGGGCATGAGGGAGGACAGCGGGGAGGCAGGGGCTTGAGGGAGGGTAGGCGGGAGGCGGGGGCTTGAGGGAGGGCAGGCGGGAGGCAGGGGTTTGAGGTGCGGGAGGACAAGGGGGAGGCAGGGGTTGAAAGGAAAAACGGGGGCGGAGGCAAGGGGTTGAGGGAGGACAGCGTGCAAAGGGGTGGGCCAGGCAGAGGACCAGGGGGAGCCACGGGGCGGGCCAGCGGCAGGAGGGAGGCGATCCAAACGAGCGGCGGGGGCAGCCGGATGTCGCCAGTACCGCATCGCCCGCGCCTGCGCGACGGACCCACCCACCCCCCAACTGCCGCCGCCGCCGCCGGCCAAACCATCGCCACCACCACAGCCGCGGCCGCCGACCCCCTGCTGCTGCGCCTGCCGCCCACCACAGCCTGCCGCCCACCACCGCAACCGCCAACCACCGCCGCCGCCGCCCGCGGGCTCGCCTCACCGGAATGTTGTTGCCCACCATGTCGAAGTTGCCCTCCCGGGTGTAGAACTTGATGGCAAAGCCGCGCGGGTCGCGCAGCGTCTCGGGGGAGCCCCGCTCGTGGATGACGGTGGAGAAGCGGACCTGGGGCACACACACACACACAGTATATAGTTTTTTTGTGTTGGTGTTGGTGGTGTTGGTGGTGTTGCATGGGGAGGGGAGGGCAGGGCAGGGGATCGACCAGGGCACAGGGCACAAGGGCGGCCCCCGCGCCGCCTGCTGCTCCCGCGCCGCCCGCCGCCGACTCACGATGATGGGCGTCTGCACGCCTGGCGCGCGCAGGAAGTCTGCGCTGGTCAGGTGGGACACGTCATGGGTGACCTGCGAGGGCGGCAGGGGCAGCGGGGAAGGGGAGCGTTGAGTGTTAGGGTATCATCGCATTGCGAGGCTGCAAGGAAGGTCGGCCCGCCTTGCAGCAGAGGGCGTGGCGCCGCGCGCCGCCGCTGCCAGCCGCGCTGCGGGGCTGACGCTGAGGGCCGCGGGCAGGCGGCCGGGTGCCGTGCCGGCAGCAGTGCCCCGCGCCGCTGCTGCCGCCGCCGGGCCGCACCTCGAAGAAGCCCTTGGCTGCCGCTCCCCGCGCGTGCACCACCCGCTCCGGGATGCGCTCCCGGTCAAAGTTGGCCAGCTTCTCGGTCAGCTGGTAGTCCTCCAGCAGGATGGGGCCTGCGGGACGGGAGAGGGGTAGGTGAGGAGGAGGCAAGGCGGGGGTCGAGCTGCCACATCGAAAATGGCGGAGGAAAACAAAACGTGTGCAAGGCAGGCAGGGAGAGAGGCGAGCTCGCGGCTTGCCTCCCACGCCGACCGTCAGCGAGTTGTTGTTGTTGTACACCTGCGCAGCAAGGCAACGCGAGGTGCAACGGGTGGCGGTTAGGCGGCAGGGAGGTCTGCCGCTGCGGCAGTCCGGAATGCGGCGTGGCGGCGGGCAGCCCCACGCCACTCCTGGTTGCCTCACCGGCGCCCCAGAGTTGGTGGTCCAGTGGGGGCTGTTGTGCGCCGAGGAGGGGCGGAACTGCGAACAGGGCGGGCAGGTGCAAGGGGGCATGAGAAAGGCAGCAGCAGGAGCGGCGGCGAGCGACGGCAGCGTCGGCTCTGACGGCCGCGTCACACGCGGCGCGGCGGCGCTGCAGAGAGTGTGCAGGCTGCTCAGGCGGGGCCGGCAGCGGCGTGCTCTACGCCGATTGCCGGGAGCATGAGAATGCTGAGGGGGCCGCGCCCAACCCGTCACCCAACACTCCCAGCGCCACACACACGGCTTCCAGAGCCATGCAGCATGGCCCAGGGAGCGCGCTGCACGCTGCTGCGAACGCAATCGGCCTGGCTGTCTCGGAAGTCGCTGTGCCACTCGCCTTGTAAGGATCCATGGTCTCCGACACTCGCTGCACCACCACCGCAACCTGATGAGTGTAGCTGGGGCGTGCCGGAGCGGGGGACAAGTTCAGGGCAAAGGCCAGGCTGGCGGCCGTCTTTCCTGCTGGTTTGGGCGTTCCCAGCGCGTGCAAACGATGTTGCGCATTGCCCAGCTCACCTCCGCCCCGGCCCCGCACCCCCTAGCCTCCAGCAGCGACAATGGCACCCAAACGTGCCAGAGAGGAGGGCGGCGAGGCCCAGGCGCCCCAGCAGGCATGCAGCAGCGTGCATGGCATATGAGTTTGGGGCCCGCAGGCAACTCCACCCAACCCGCATGGGTCGCCCACTTGCGCTGCGCAGGAGGTGGTCAAGCACCCCAAGAAGCAGATGTATCGCATGAGGGCGCACAGTAACCCCCTCAACGACGCCCACTTCCCCGTGCCCCTCAGCCCAGACCACGTCGACTGGTGCGTGCCGCCGCCGCCCGCCGCCGCCACCCTGTCGCCACGTAGCCATCCTCAAGCCTGCTGCTAATCTGCCTGCCTGGAGCGCTGCCATCGCTGCTGCTGCCATGCGCGTCCGCCCACCTCCCCACCCGGCCTCCGCCGCTGCAGGGCTGCTCATTACCCCGAGCTGCACATGGCGGCGGCCGCCGCTGGCGTGCCGCCGCCCCAGGTCGAGTTTGCCGACGTCGGCTGCGGCTTTGGCGGGCTGACGATCCGCCTGGCGGAGGCCTACCCTGACAAGCTGATCATGGCCATGGAGCTGCGGGATAAGGTCACAGGTGGGGCTTGGGGGCCGCCACCCGCACCCGAGCAAGCAACAGGCGCAAAGCGTTCTGTTGGGAGCCAGGGCGCAGCCTGCAGGCTTGCGGTGCATAGCATGGATGCTGGGCTGGAGGCCGCCACCTTCTCGCCGCCTCTTCGCTGCATGCTTCGGGGCGCACGCGCCGCGGCCGCTGCCGTGCAGCCGCCGCCGATGCCACGCCGCGGCTGCCATGCCGCCGCCGCCGCCTGCCACGCGTGCGCGCTCACCGCCGCCGCTGCCGCCTCGTGAGCTGGGCGCAGAGTATGTCAAGGAGCGCATTCTGGCGTTGCGCAAGGAGCAGCCCGGCAAGTACCAGAACTGCTCGGTGGTGCGCACCAACGCAATGAAGTTCATCACAAACTTTTTCAGAAAGGGCCAGCTCACCAAGCTCTTCTTCCTGTTTGCGGTGAGCGGCCGGCGCGGGGCTGGGATGGGCGGGAGAGGGAGCATGGGCAGGCTGGGGTGGTGGGCACCAGGGCACAGGCGGGGCACGGCTTGTGGAATGCCCCCGCGGCTGGCGCCGCCACCTCGCCATGCACGCATGCCGGCCTCCCGCCGCCACTCCCTCCCCTCAGCGCACCCCCATGCCGCGCTGCCCTCCGCGCCGCGCCTTCCCTGGCCTCCGCTCACCCTCCGCGCCCTCCCTCCCTCCTCCCTCCTCCCGCCACCCGGCCGCCGCTCCGGCCCCTTTGCCGCCGCAGGACCCTCACTTCAAGGCAGCCAACCACCGCCGCCGCATCATCCAGCGCACGCTGCTGGCTGAGTACGCCTACCTGCTGCGCCCGGGCGGCCTGCTGTACACCATCACCGATGTGGAGGACCTGGGGGACTGGCAGGTGGGTGTTTGCCCGCGTGGGCGGGGGGGTGGGGGTGGGGGCGTGTGGGTGGTGTCTAACAGTTCAGCTGGGATAGGCGTGAGCGTGGCCGCACACTCGCGCCAAGCATGAGGCCTCGCTGGCTGCCTTCACAAGCTCGCTGCAAGGGCAGGAGACGAACATTCCTTGCCACCCCCACCCCGTGTGTCTTTCCTCAACCCCACCCCCACCCCTCCTGCTCCCTCGCTGCCCGCTGCAGCGCGACAGGCTGGAGGCGCACCCGCTGTTTGAGCGGGTGAGTGATGAGGAGCTTGAGAGCGACCCTGCTGCACAGCTGCTGCTGGAGGGCACGGAGGAGGGGCAGAAGGTGGCGCGCAACGGCGGCAAGACGTGGCGCCATGTCTACCGCCGCATCCCAGGGCCCGCAGACCAGGCGGCCGCGGCGGCGGCGGCGGCCGCTGCAGGGGAAGAGCAGCCCGCTGCAGCAGGGAAAGAGCAGCCCGCGGCGGCAGGGAAAGAGCAGCCCGCGGCGGCAGGGGAAGAGCAGCCCGCCGCGGCAGCAGCAGCTGGCGCAGGAGGGGACGGCGCGTAAGGGTGAGGGCGGTGCTGCCAGCGGCGGCATGGCTTGCGACATTTCTTTCTAGCTTGGATTTCGCTGTTGCTGCTTCATTCGCCTTCTTCTGCTCTGATTTCCGCCGGCCCTGGCACTCCTGTGAGGCAAGGCCTGGTGTTGACCAGGGCAGTCAGAGATGGCGGGGGTGGCGTCCACAGGGGTGGCCGCTGCAGTGTCTGCCCTGCAGCCCAGGTGCGCTGCGGATGCGAATTGGGGATGCCGGGGGGCGCAGCGACACCGACCAGCAGCCCTTGCCGCGCAGGCACTGCTTCGGAGCCTTCGGCTCCCGAGCCCAGGGCCTGTGCTGGGCGGATGAGAGCACGCTTGCCTACCTGTGCGGCCAATCGGTGGTCCTCTACCAGCCCGACACCAAGGCCCAGCGCTTTGTGGCGGGCAGCCCAGACGCCGCTACCATCACGGCCATTGCGGTCTGCCCCTCCCGGCGCCTGTTGGCCCTGGCGGAGCGAGGGGATAAGGCCACCGTCACCGTCTTCGACCTGCAGACCCTCAAGCGCCGCAAGATCCTGACCAGCAGCGCCGAGGGCACCAAGGCGGGCGGCGGCGGCGGTTGGCGGCGGGTGGCACGCCCTGCCTCGCTGTGTTCACAAACTGGCGTCCACACTCTCCGCTCATCCCGGCGCTACCCTGCTGCCTGCAGGAATTTGTGAGCGTGGCCTTCAGCAGCGATGGGCGCCTCTTGGTCGCCCAGGGAGGCGCGCCCGACTGGACCCTGTGCCTGTGGGCCTGGGAAAAGTCCAAGCTTCTGGCCACTGCCCGCACCGTCAGCCAGCAGGGACACACCGTGGTGCAGTGCCTGTTCCAGCCAGGTGCGCTGGTGCCGCCGGACGGGAGAGCGGCAGGCTCGGTGCAGCCCGCCAGTGGCACTCATGTGGCGCGAGCCCAGGAGCCTCCCGTGCCTGTCTGGACACAGCGGCCTTGCCCTTGTGCCGTCCCGCCTGCTGCCTGCTGCTCCAGGCGACGACCCGCAGCACGTCAGCGTGGTGGGGGAGGGCACGTGCTGCCTGTACCGCCTGGAGGAGGGCCACACGCTGCGCGCGCTGCCCAACTTGCTGTCCAAGCGGGACGCCCCGCAGTACGCCTGCCACGCCTGGCTGCTGGACAACGACGCAGAGGGAGTGGTAGTGGTGGGCACCAGGAAAGGAGAGGTGCTGGTGGTGGCGGAGGGCGACGTGTGGCAGGCGGTGGCGCTGGAGGAGGGGTGCGGCGTGGAGGCGGTGGCGGCGTATGGCAAGGTGCGCGGCGTCGGCGGTGGGGATGTGCCGCGCTGTGGGTATGCTGTTTGACCGTGGCTCGGACGCCTGCTTGGGCAGAGCGGGCACAAGCCCTGGCGCTCACAGCCGGGCTGGCGGCGGGCTGGCGCAGGGGTTTGTGGCGGGCACGAGCCGCGGCGCGCTGCTGGCGTTTGAGCGGGACAGCGAGTCCAAGCCGTACCGCCTGTCCCGCACCTACAGCATCGACAGCACCAGCCCCACCGGCGGCCTGCCGACAGCCAGGGACGGCGCTGCGGGCGGCGCATCCGGTTCTGCGGCTGGCGCCGGCGCCGGCGCGCCAGCCCGGGGGCCGGCGCCGGCGCCCTCGGGAGCGCCGCCCGCCGCCCTTTCCTCCCACGTCCGCGCCTGCAGCCTGGCTGTCTCACCGGTAGACGACAGCGTGGCGTGCCTCACCTCCAACAACCAGCTGCTGACGCTGGCGGTGGCGCCGGGCGAGCGGCGCGGCGCCTTCACGGGCCTGCAGCGCCTGGCGCCGGGGTTCCACGGCAGCGAGGTCACGGGGCTGGCCACGTGCGTGCGGCGCGCGGTGGTGGCGACAGCCGGCGCCGACCGCACCGTGCGCATCTGGAACTATGCAGACAAGTCTGCGGAGCTGGTGGGTGGGCAGGCGGGCGGGGGGTATCCCGAGGGGTATCCCGAGGGGTATCCCGAGGGGTTGGTGGGTTGATGGGCTGGATGGTCGTCTGCTTGGCGGAGGGCGGCAGTCCATCGACTGGGTGGGCGGGCAGCTGCTGGGAACTGGTGTCCTGGGCCAGGGTTGGCTGTGTGGGCGGGGTGAGCAGCTGCAGCCGAGTGATATGCAGCAGGGGGAGGATGGGGTGGGTTGGGTTGGCATCCCGCGTGCTGGCACTGCTGCTGCCTGCTGCGCCCCGCCGCGCCGCAGGTCAAGGCGTTTGAGGAGGATGTGCTGAGCCTGGCGCTGCACTCCACCGGCTACCTGCTGCTGGCGGGCTGCGCCGACAAGCTGCGCCTGATGACGGTGCTGGCGGGTGGGTGGCGCACGCCGGATGGAAGTGGGGGGCAGGATGGGGGATGCGGCTAGGCAGATGTTGGGCACTGCCTTGGCAAGTCTGTTGGGGAGGCAGCATGCAGCAGGGGCACAGCAGGTCTGTGAGGTCACTTTGGGAGGAGGGCCAGGATAGAGCTGGCCGTCACGGCGCCCAGCCGGCTGCCCATGAGCCAGCCACACGCGCCTCTCCTGCCCATCTCGCCGCCGCCGCCCTGCAGACGACCTGCAGGTGGTACGCGAGCTGCCCATCAAGGCCGCCCGCGACTGCTGCTTCTCCACCGGCGGTCAGTACTTTGCAGCCACCAACGGCAACACGGTGCACGTGTACTGCACCTATACCGCCGCCAGCCTGGCGGTACTGCGCGGCCACAACGGCAAGGTGGGCCTGGGCCTGGGCGAGCAAGGAGGCGTGCATGGCTGCGGCGGCATGCATGCAGGCCCTGCTGTCTTTCCCCTTTTGCAGCTTACTCAACTCTTAACCTTGTGGTCCAACGCTGGTGTGACACTCCCTGACCGTTGGCGTTGCCCTTGTGCGGTGCCCCGTGCGCCCCTGCCCTGTTCTGCCCTCTTTGGTTATAAAACCCTTCCTTAACTCCTTTCCACCTCGGGCCACCTCCTTTCCACCCGAGGCCAGGTGCCACGGCCTGTGGTGGCCTCCAGACGATGCCACGCTGGTGACAGCCGGCATGGACGGCGCGGTGTATGAGTGGCGGGTGCTGGAGGGGCGGCGCACCCGCGACTTTGTGCAGAAGGGGTGGAACTACACCTGTGTGGTAAGTGGTCCCACTAATGTAACTGGCACGGGCAGCACAGCAGCCAGTCACATGCTGCAAACCGCGGAGCGGTGCCTGCCCCCCGCTGCAGGCCGGCACGCACGCTGCCGGCTCCACCGCCGCCACCAGCGCGGCGGCTGCCAGCGGCCCCGCCGCCTCCATCTTTGCCGCCGCGCTGGACCGCAAGCTGCGTGTGCTGGAGGACGGCGCCGGCGGCGGGCTGCAGGTGGCTGCTGAGGTGGATGCCGGCACGGTCATCACCCAGATTGTGGCACCCGGTCCAGGTTGGCGGTGGTGGCAGTGTGCTGCTGGGGCTGGGGCTGGCGTTGCTGGGGCTGGCGTTGCTGGGCTGCTGCTGCTGCTGCTGCTGCTGCTGGCAGCCTGCGAATCGTCCAGTGCAGCCAGCCACTCCCCTCGAAAGGCACAGGCTCGCCAAGCGAGTGCATGCGACCCCCGCATGCCGCCCGCCGCTCCCGCTGCCGCTGCCGCAGGCGGCCGCCTGCTGTTTGCCGCCACCGACGACGGCGCGGTGCGGTGCTACAAGCTGCCGCTGGGCCCCGCCTGCGAGTGCCAGGTGCTGCGGTGCGGCGGCGCACCCATCACGCGCCTGGCGGCGACGCGCGACGAGGCCACGCTGTTTGCCGCCACCGCCGACGGCTGCCTGTTTGTGTTTGATGTCAAGGACCGCGACGCCGCCCGCTTCCTCACGTGAGTTTTACTTGGTTAGGAAGGGAGGAGGAGGAGCAGAGGGGAGAGGGGGTTTGGGTGCAGTTGGTTGGCTGGCTGAACAGCGATTGACGGCTCAGCTCAGCACTGGTCACAGCACGGCTGCGGGGCCGCTGCCCCACCCCGCCGCTCCTGCCCAGACTTCCTGCAGCCGCAAGGAGGGCGAGGCTGTGGCGTTTGGGGAGGAGGTGCTCGTGGGGCGGGGCGACATCGATGAGCGGCGGGAGCGCATGGCTGAGCTGGAGGCTCAGGTGGGGGTGGCTGTGGTGTGGAGCTGGAGTGCAGGGGGGCTGTTCTGGCTGCGGGCTGGGAAGCTGGGGGTCTGCGGGGAGCGCCTGTGCATGCAGCTGCGGGTGCCCTGCAGCATATTGCCTGCTGGTCCGGCGCGAGGGCTCGGCCTGGGCAAGCTGGGGAGTCGACCGGGCACCCACCCTGCCAACCCAACGGTTGCCTCCCTGGACCGTTTGCCCTGCGACCGGGCACCCCCACCTCGCTCTGCTGTGCTTCTGGCCTGCAGGTGGCGGAGGTGACTGCCCATAACGAGTACCAGCTGAAGCTGAAGGATCTGGCACTGAACGAGAAACTGCGTCAGCTGACGGACAAGGCCGCCAGCGAGGCGGCGGAGGCGGCGCAGAGGTGCGCGCGGCGCGGCGGCGGCGGCAGCGGCAACGGGCGGGGCAGGCAGGCGGGCGCCGGGCTCCTGCTGTGGGGCCTCGGCTCCCTGCGAACGCACCTGTCTCATTCCTCCATCCTGACACCACACACCCACCCACATCCACATCCACCGCCATCTCGCCTGGCCACCGCCACGTCATATCCCTCCCCACCACACACCCTTCCTGTCGCGCATCCTGAGATCCCTGCAGGTACAACGCGCTGCTGGCGGACCGAGCTGAGCTGGAAGCCCGGTACGAGGCGCGCCTGCGGGACGGCGAGGAGGCAGCCGCCGCGCAGCTGGTGGCCCTGGACTCCCAGTTCCAGCAGAAGCTGGTGCATGAGATGGAGCGGGTGCAGGAGGCGGGGGCGGCCAAGGACGCGCTCAACGCCAAGTGAGGAGGGGCAGCGCTGCTCGCAGGCTGCGGCGTGCGTGTGAGGGCGCGTGTGTGGCTGGCAGGGGGAAGGGGTTGGTGGGCGTCGGTGGGAATGGCAGCGGCGTGGCATGCACGTGTCTGTGTGTTGTGTGGGAAGGGGGGTAGGTCCCAGGCGGCTGCTCCTGCTCCAGAGCAGAAGGGCAGGCCTCCGAGCGCGCCCCCTGCCCCATTGCATGCAGGTGGGAGGGTCAGATGCGTGCGCTTGTGGAGCAGCATGCCCGGGTGGTGGAGGAGCTCGGGGTGGCCCACCAGGCGGCCCTGGCTGCGGAGCGGGCGCGGTACGGCGCGCTGGCGGCCGAGAAGGGCGACGGGGAGCGGGAGGCGGCGGAGGTGCGGCGGCAGATGGAGGAGGATGTGGATCGGGAGGTGGAGGAGCTCAAGGAGAGGTGAGGGCGCAGGGGTTTGTGGCTTGCGGGCCTGTGAGGATGCTTGTGGGGCTGTAGGGTGGGGGTGAGGCTGGCGAGGCAGGGCGCTGGGGCCTGGGCAGAGATGCAACCGACTGCCAGGCAGCCGATGCCGCTCCTGCGAGCCCGTGTGCCTGCCTGTCCTTCGTTGCAGGTACCGCAAGCAGCTGCAGGCCGAGGGGGACACCAGCCTGCAGCTCAAGGGCGAGAACGGGCTGTTGCGCAAGGGCTACAACGAGCAGCAG